AAGAGGCTACAGTCAGTCCCAGGTTATAAGTAACTGACTTACTGACAGCTTATACTTGCCCTCTGTTGTTGCTATGATGTGGCATCGATCCCTTCTGACCCAGAGTGATGCAATGTACAACAGAACAAAGCATTGCCCAGACCCACACCATCCTCACAATTATACCTATGCCGGAACCCATTGTTGGTCACTGTGTCACTGCATCTCCAAATGGCCTTCCTCTCTTTCACTGTCCTTCCACTTTACTAAGCATGACGTCCTTCCCCAGAGCCTCGTTTCTCCCGACAATATGTCTAAAATATGTAAGACAAAGTCTTGCCATCCCTGCCTCTAAGGAACGCTCTGGCCATACTTCTTCCAAGACAATTTTATTTGTCCTTTTAAGAGTCTATGTTACTTTCAATATTCTCCATGAGCACCACAATTCAAACGCCAATTCTCCTTCAGTCTTCCTTATTCGACAGTCAACTTTCACATGCGTATGAGGCGATGGGAAATACCATGGCCTGGGTCAAGCTCCCATCGTCTTCAAAGTAACATCCTTGCTTTTCAATACATTGAAGAGATCTTGTGCAGCAGATTTACCTAATGCAACTCATATTTTGTGTTTTTGACTGCTTCTTCCATAATCATTACCTGTGGATCCAAGCAAGACAAACATCCTTGACAGTTTCAACCTTTCTCCATTAATCATGATGTTCCCTATTCTTCCACTTGTGGGGATTTTGGTCTTCTTGACATGAGTCAAAATCCACACTCAAGGCTGTGGTCCTTGATCTTCAACTGCAAGTGCCTCAAGTCCTCCTTTCAGCGAACAAGGTTGTGTCATCTGCATATCACAGATTGATAATAAGCCTTCCTCCAACCCTGTTGTCACATTCTTCTTCATATAAACCGGTTTCTCTGATTAATTACTCGGCATACAGATTATATAAGTATAGTGAGAGGAAACAACCCTGCCACACCCCTTCCCTGATTTTTTTAAATAACCTTTTATTGGGAGCTCTTACAGCTATCCATAGTTCAATCACATCAAGCATTACTGTGTAATTGCTACCACAATCAGTTTCAAACATTTTCTTTCTTCTTGAG